TAAACCAGCCGTAACCAAACCATAGGCAAACACTAGATCAACATTGAAAACAGAAGAGTTAGAACGTAAATATGGATTTATAGGTGCTACATAGCTGTCTATATAATCGCCATTACAAACCAAATAAATGACAGTCTCCAAACCACATTCTCGAACCATTTTTAATACAAATATTAGATATACAGAGAAAACAGTATCATAAAGAATGTAGTAATGGAAAATTATCATACATATCTATAATCGTCATTACAAAACAAATAAATAATAGTCGCAAAATCATAATCAAACCGTAGACAAATACTAGATCTACAGGGAGAAGTAGATAAAGAATGTAGATATGGAACACTATCACAAACCAAAGAAATGATTGTGCTTCAATCGCAATCAAAATGTAGACAAATACTAGAACTACAGAGAGAAGAGTAGATAAAGAATGTAGATAGCGAACATTATGACACACATATCTATAATCACCATTACAAGCCAAAGAAATGACTGTGCTCTAACTGCAATGAAACAACCGGACAATAAATGATGAGCAAAAAAGGATCAAGCATGTATGACGACATCAGAGTGTAGACATGGATGTGTCATCTACCTTTAATCGCCATTTCAAGATCATCGCTGCGTAGCTTGCGAGGTCTTCCCTTTCTCCGGGACCCTGCCACCCAACAAACTTGTGGTCACTACACTGGACTGCACTACTGCACTACCACAAGCACTACACCACAGAAAGGAACAAGACAAGACAACTCCCTATTCGTTGAACGTACCCGTCAACGTAAAGTTTAGTGGCTGAGACGATTGGACACACATACAACTTCTGTGTTGGCACCTGCTAGGTTAGGTCTTTATATGGAAAGGCAAACCTCTCTTTCCAAAGGCATGTTTCATAATGGCAAGTCACCAACAACATCTATCCTCCAGCCAAAGAGGCTTTCAAATTCTTATCCTAAATTCCAACTTATCCCAACATATCTCCAATTCCAATAGGATACATACCTATGGTCCAACCAATAATGATATCCTATCCACGACAAAGACTTCTAAGGAATCCTCAGATTATTCAAATAAGATTTAACTCTCTCTAGAGAGAAAACCTAAATGATATTTTCTCTCAAACATGATCTGATAAATCGTCAAAAATATTTTTTGGCAAAACGTCTATATAATAAAATGTTTTTCTTTTCTGATCGAAGTGTGTCCTTTTCACACACTCACAAAAAGTGACTATATATTGATAGTTCTTTTGATAGTAAGGATTGTTGATTCTACGGAGGTAATTTTTACAAATAAATCTGATCGACTATTGTTTCAGCTGCTAAAAATTGAATTCCACGCACGGGACCATAAATTAGTTGAACACGAAATAGAGCGCCAACTATCTGCGAAAGGAGAAAAGCGAATTTATCATCATCATTATTTTATTATTTCTTTTAAACCAAATTTCTACAATCGTTATATAATAAGAATATAAAGAGTATTTTTTCTTCCTTTAATATAAGGTTGTAGAAATTTGTTTCCCAAAGGGGAAAAAAAAGAGCTATATATAATTAGAGCTAAAAATGACGAGAATTTCGCAGTTTTTTTTTCACAGTACCATGAGAAAAATTTGAGAATAACTAAAAACAAAAAAATAGGAATCGTTAAAAAGGTGAGGATAAAAAATCCCTAAAGTAAGGAGTATAAAAAATAGTTTTAAAAAGTGATATTGTACTGGGATCGTTGGATTAAAATAGAAAAAGTCATCTTGTGATTATGCAACTGAAAGTTACTGATGACTTGCGCCATCTGTCATAATAAATTTCAACTAATCGTTGATTTAAAAAAATGATTCCAGAATATTGACCAAACTTTCAGTCACGCGAACAGAAGACACCTTTTTCTTAAAGAGAACTTGATATAATCCTCTTTGAATCAAGCACAATGAAATATATTTTTTATTGAATATTTTAAAGCAAATAAAAACAAATATATTGGAGGGGGATTTAATTGAATATAAGATTTACGAGCTCTATTCGTAACATGGAAACAATTTATAGAGCTATTTTATTTCCAATAAAATAACTTGTCCCTAAGCAATGAAAAACTACTGGGAGGGCTTGTCTCATCAGTGTTGACTACATGCGGTATTTCGTCGGCTTATTCTACCAGACCGCCTTGGGCTGTTCTACCTATATAAACGGCAATATGGAGGAATTGGTGGTGAAAGTGACTAAGGAAATAACGAACATATGCATAGATAATATTGTCTGGTGAACAGGTTCTTGTCTAAACAGACCTTTGTATCTGATACCTTTAATTTAAAGCATAAAAGCTACGCTTGTATCTGAAATATGCACTCATGGACAAAGTTGTACAAGAAAGTTGTACCTTCCAGCATGTATATCGGGATTAAGACAATAACTCTGAAAGATATTTGATATACAGTGACCTTTATTGAAGATACAAGAGATACCCAAGTGTTAAAAAAATTGTCTCTGTGTCCTTAAAAATATATATATGTTATATAAAGGTATTATTTAAAATGTTATTTTATTTTAAATATATTTCATAGATTCGATGACTCTGTTAAATCGACCACCAGAGGTCGCCGTTTTTACTATATAAACTCTATTGTTGTTGTTTCCAATGGACGGTTCAAAACTTTTGTACATCATGTAAATAAGTTTTTCATTTTTTCATTCTTACGCCTTAAGCCAGGCATTACTTTTATCAAATTATGTTTTTTATATATTCCTTAGCTCAATTAAAGCAACCTCTGATCAAAACTATTTTGTTATTCCCACAACTGCAAAACAATATCGTAACACACATGCTCATGTATACCAAAAGCAAGCAACAGCTAATAATAATTCAATGTATCAATCTAATATTTCAAAGTCAACAGCAGAAATCATTCTTAAATATAACATATATACAACCGACTAATTCAAAGACTTTTCCACTTTCTTAACCTTTGTCCATGAGTGCAAATATATACGTGAAATTTCTAAAATGACTGAAATATTTTTCCATATTTTTGTTTAACACTATCACTATGAATAAACCTACGAAAGATCGCCTAAAAACATAGTTAAATCAGGTCTTTCCGGGAGGTGGTCTTTTATCAGAGACTCTGTCATGTCATGAGGAGTCTTTCAACCAAAACAGAGACTCCGGTGAGAGTCTACCTCCAGGAAAGACCAGCCATGTTTTTATACAGTCTCTAGTACGAGGCTACTGTATCGATAAAGTTTTGAGGTTTACAGTCCGCTGGCAATTTCAGCGCGGTTCAGAGGTTCAAGAGTTAGGTCTTCGATTAATTGACACCCCGATAAAAAAAAAAGACATGACACAATCACATTAAGTAATCCACAACTTAAATACTATCGATTCTTAATTTTTTAAATATCATATTATCGACTTTTTTTCTCTTCCCAACGTCCGGTTATTTCTTTGAAGTCTTTTTCAATCAATAAAATAATGGGAAGGGGGATCAGTTTTTAGGTGTTTGCTGTCGATAATTGTACTTCTTCCCGCTCTATATGGATTTCCATTGTGTGGGGCGAAGAACACAGATTGTCCATTACTTCTATAGGTTTTATTTGATGGAAGCTCACATAGAATGGGTAGGACACAGTAAACACAGTTGCCATTCTGGCAGGTTGACTTACGTAAATAACTCTACCTACTGTATTTACTAACCTTGTTTATATCTTTAATGATAAGTTAGCTATCAACAACCTTCAACATGAAGTTGATAAGAGAATCGAGTTTCTAATATTATATAAACATTTATTTTACGACGTCTATAGGTTATCATGGTATTATCGCATATAATAAATTCAGCTAAATATCGTTTATAAGATATTACTGTAGACTATACCGCTGAATATATTACGGAATTTTCAAAGAGTAAAACCTTTGATATACGCTCGCATTTGAGATTGGTATAAAATGAGGAGCATGAGAGAATGCTGATGTGTTTTACTACACCAAAAATTTACATTTTTTATATATATTTAATTTATATAAATTATTGGACATTTGCTACCACTAATTTTGAGAGTAACTAATATTACTAAAGAATGTAATATCAGTGTTGAATTTTTATAAAATTTGGGAACAAGATTGATTCTTTCAAATAGGTACATTATTATCATATTTAGCAATGTTTCACTTTGTTATAAAATCACTCGATTAAATATTAAAATGTTCTATTAATTAATAAATCCCGCTGCTATTTACAACATCATTCTGTTAGGTTATAAAATCTCTTTGTCGAATACAGTAGAACCTCCCTGTAAAAGACAACACCTAATTGCAGAGCTAAAGTGTCCTTTAGGGAGAGGTTTCCTCTTACTGGAGAGTTGTTTAATAGTAAAAATAGTAATTTTGCAAATGAAAACTGTCCTTTGTGGAGAGGTGTCCGCTAAAGGGAGGTTATACTGTATCTTCATTAATTTAAAACCCCACATGATCAGATCATGAAATTACTCTGCTAAATTATTCAATTCCTCTGTTTATTATAAAATCCCTGTTGATTAGATAAGAATACTCTGTGTGCTCGATTATAAAATCGCAAAGTCAATTATTAAAAAAATAAACATTTTGATTTAAAAAAAATATAAATAAAACTTGTTTTGCTTAAAAACGTAGTCACAGAAGTATATTTTGGGCGATAAAAATATTGGAAACAGTATTTTTGTTCCCCCACCAGTAATACGATCAGTAATACACGAGTGATGTCACAAATACTGATTGGCGAATGGGAAATAGTACATTTAGAAGAATAAGAAACACAAGTTGAGGAGAATAAATTATTTATATAAGAAAACTATAATACATTATAAAGGACTGCGGCGAGTGATTATAAACAATACTTAAAGTTACACCGCATAAGTTTCTTTTTTGTGAAAAATCAATATTTATTTCAAAGAGAAATATTTACTATTTCTAACTTTTTTGAATGAAGTATGAGAGGGTGAAAATATGAAGAGTAATGGCGAACGGAAAAATAAAAGTGTCCAGGGGCGGGAATCGAACCCACAACCTTCTGCTTACCGGGCAGGTGCCATGTCCACTAGGCTACCCTTCCGTTCGCCATTACTCTTCATATTTTCACCCTCTCATACTTCATTCAAAAAAGTTAGAAATAGTAAATATTTCTCTTTGAAATAAATATTGATTTTTCACAAAAAAGAAACTTATGCGGTGTAACTTTAAGTATTGTTTATAAGAAAACTATCTTACAAGATTTTGGGGAAGATGCCCTTCTACGAGTACAGATTTCATTTTGAAATACATTCTGTATCTGTAGAAAGACGTCTTGCCTCAAAACTTGTACAATCGTCCTCTTATAAAAGAAGATCTTCTCCTCGATCTTTTTTTCTATAGCGAGAGAATAGGGAGTTTATTGTTGTCTTAATTCTAACATTTAGAAGGAGTTGAAAGATGATCATAGAAATTATCTCAAATCAATTCTTGTAGCGTGAAATAAGATATTTTTTTTGGATGTAAAACGACTGAAACACGGTTGTATCCGGGCACATTTTCATTTTTAATAATTCCGTTTATGTAATAGGCTGTAAATTCATGTACCATGTTTTATGATATATTATTTTTATTTCTGCCCTAAGTACTTTCTATTTCCGCTATTATATATCACCATTGTGGTAAACATATGCAAACTTGGTGATAGGTCTACATTAATGGACAAGGGTCGATGTCGAATGTTGATGTCGCCGGACGTCTATTTTTTTTTTTTTTTTTTTTTTTTGAAGGAGACAGAGGTAATTTTGTTCCCCCTTTGATATCTCGTGTGTCTTTAATAAAGGTTACTGTGTATCAAATATCTTTCCGTTATTGCTTGAATCCCGATATACATGTTCAAAGATACAACTTCCTTAAGTTTTGTCGGTGAATGTACTCTACTTAACACAGTATTCATTTTTGGATCACATTTTAAATATTATCCAATTTTAATTATTTCAAGCAATATCTAAAATTAACTAAAGAGTTTCAAAATTTATATCTTTGTTAAATATAAAGAGAGAGCTAAAACGCGATTTAAAAACTGTTATATTCCCTTCTTAACTACGATCAATTAAAAATGAATTTGAGACTATAGAATCTTAGAAATGATTCGGTCTTGAATGGTACAGGTCTTATATCCTGTTAGCCTTCATACCAGAATGGTGTTTGGGACTCTGTGACCCGGACATGTTGTTCTTAAATAAGGTATGGTATTCAATTCTCCAAGGTTCAATAGAGACTTAACTGTGAATTCCAATTTCAATTTCTAACACAACCTTTTTGTTTGAGTTAAAATTCGTTCCATTAAATATAATAATATAAAAAAGGACTTGTGTACCTGCGCATTGAAAGAAAAAAACTTTTATTTTAAAAGTTTTCGAGAGATTGCTTCCTTTTTATCAATTTGCATTCATCACAAAACTTAAGGAAGTTGTACTTTTTAACATGTATATATCGGGATTCAGACAATAACTCTGAAGGATATTACAGTGACTTTTATTGAAGACACGCAAGATAACCAAGTGTGAAAAAAATTGCCTCTGTCTGCTTAAAAATAAAGATGACCGGCGACATCAAAATATGAAACTACCTTAAGTTTTGTCCCATGAGTGTATATATGAAACCTTCAATTAGAATGTCATCGAGTAGGTAGGTGTACCTCCGTAGAGAGTACCATTCTCTGGATGGAACAATGGGAAGTGTCAAAATGAGTTTTTAGGACAGTGTGTCTAATTGTCCTTCCTTCACCTGCTCTCTTCTCTACTGCCCCACAGATCTTATTAACTCTCCGAGGAACTCTCTGACAACAACTTCCAACTCATCTATCTCTATATATAGTATGGAGTAAAGGAGTATTATTGAACACTTCGTCCATATAAATCTATTCAGATGGAATGTATAGAGTATCAAGTATTAATATGAGATTAGATTTATAAAATAATCATAAAGCGTTGATGGTATTTGAAACACACCAGAACTAAACGAATCATTTCTTTATTCCGGTAAAACTGGGTCACTAGCTTTCAATCGTATTAGGGCCGTGAAGGAAAGCCTTTTGGCCCGAAAGCTTCCCAGTTTTATAAGAATAAAGAGACGAATAATTTTCCGTTTTTCATAAAGTCTATCTATGTTAGAATCCCACACACAAAACCTTTTATTATCAGGGTCGTAGCCTCATATATGCTCTCTAAAATTACTGGAGGGTTTTGAGAAATTGTCATTTGTTCTCAATCCTAATGCATGGAATATTCTTATTTGTACCTCCCAGTGTGAGTACAACTCCGGTAGAGGGGGGGGGGGGGCATCCTAATAGGATGGCTAACACAAAAGAGGGACTGACCGAAGCCGGGACAAGCTTTCAACTTCATTTTTCCAACAAAAAAGAACATTCTCCTGACCTTGGGGAGAGAAATCGCCCCAAAAGGCGGAAGAGCTTAATTTATTTGTCCAAGGTCATAGACGGAGGGAAGCACTGGAAAACCACTTCTGTATCAAACACTACTGAGAAAACTATATGGACCAAATATCTAATTTACATACTGTCGAAAAGGATAATTGGAGAATATTTGTCCATATAGTCACAAAAAGTCGACTTGATGGACATTAACAAGCCCCATATAGAGTTCCTCTTAAAAAAAAATCTAAAAAAAAAAAAAACGAGAGAATATATAGTTTTATCTATAATGATAATAAGTAGAAAATTGGAAGAAATCTTTTATATAAAGGGATCCAGCAAATCTATCGAACTGCTTTTTTTGTAAGCATTTTAATGAAGGTTCTATACATTTAGGGCAGTAGGCCTGTGTTAGAGAATCTATGACCACTATATGGAGGGAAAAAAAAAAACAATTATAAAAAAAGGAGTATTCGTATCTGCGAAAGGACCACATTTTTCACAAATATATTTTAAGGAATTTTTTCCTCTTTATCACTTTATTGTGATGTTTGGAAGGATGTTACTGGCATTATTAGGATGCTAATCAAAATTATTCTTGAGGTAAAACTCGATAGGTTTCAGGATTTTTGTAATTCTCGATATCAGTTCGTACAACAATCTATCGTTCGTCTAGTACGATATTTGTTGTTGTATATCGTGATTATGTAAATTGATTTTGAGTGGCGCTGGAGACCTAAACTCATGGACAAAACTTTAGGAAGTTGCACCTTTTAGCATGTATATTGGGATTCAGACAATAACTCTGAAAGTCATTTGATACATAGTTACCTATAGTTAAGAAACAAGAGAGAACCAAGTGTGAACAAAATTGCCTCTGTCTCCTTCAAAAAAACAGACGACCAGTGACATAAACAGACCATTGACACTTTTTTAAGTTTTAATCATGAATATATTAGCATGTATTGTAGACAACAGGAAGCTGAGAGAATTCGCTGATGAAGGTCAACAGCCCGAAACCTGGTTAGCTTTTCTTGATTAATGAAGAATGGGTATTTGGATAATTCTGGAATAATAAAAAATCAACGAATAGTTGATATTTTCTGACAGATGGCGCAAGCCATTAGCAACTTTTAGTTGCATGATCAGGAGATGCCTTTTTATCCTCATATCTCTTATATATCTTAGTTAGAATAAAAATATATTTATATATGTGTGTGTGTTCCAGAGAATTCGACTGTACACTGTAAAAGCTAGGAGGGAGTTAGAATCTGAGTTTTATAATTTATCTTTGATGCCATATATCCATCGCATGACAAAACCCATCAAAAAATAAATCCTTATTTACCTGAGTAGACCTGAGCCAATCACTCCGCCCTGTAGTTGTACTCGGCCTAACCATAAAAATGACTGTAATTAACAAAACTAGAACTGGTTAACAGGGAAACCTTCCCAAATGAGAACATGTTTTTACAACTCTGAAAATTAAATTGGTAATTGCGGGTTGTTTTTTGGGGGGCGTTTTCCTGTAGTTGAGTGTTTTATTGAGTGCCCATTGATTTTTCATTGTGTGACGAGGGGCAGGCAAAACCTTATCACCATATTGATTTCCTTTATTATTTTTTGTTGGTTTTCACTATTGATGTTTTCCCTCATTATTAGTTAACGGTGTGAGGGGGTGTGTCGGACACGTGTGTCAAGCCACGCCTACCATGATGACATTGTTGATTCTTTACATTCTTTTTATAATCAGAGATCTTGTCACAGTTTCTCGTTTGTTATATTGTTATTAAAGATTATTTCCAATATCACTAACATAGAGGAAGTAAAACATTGAAAACAATGAAGATATGAAACTTAATGATGGTATCTTTCTGAATATTTACGTTGAAAACACCGTATATAGAAATAAATTGATAAAAACAAAGCATATTTATAAAATAATGGAAAGTGGAAGATTTGTCAATATATGTGCATGTATAATATGGCGATAAACGGTTTTTTCACAAACAACGGTTTGTAACTCTCTTGGTCTTGAAGGTGGGCAACGTCAGCCATCACCTCGACCTGCCCACTCTGTGGGAAAGAACTCTCACGGTCCATCGTTGGCGGAGTCTTTCCCGCGGTGAACGCTACCAATAAAGACACCTTGTATATATATATATATATAAAGAGACAAAGGTCGCCTCTCGCGTCAAAATAGACCTCAAAACTAGACGCCATCTATTGACCGTCACCGCAAACTGGCGGTCTCGGGTCGGTGACAAAGCCACAACACCAGCTTTGGCAAACTGAAAAGCGTCCATCTAGAGACCATGGTTTCGGGCTAATGGCCCTCGTCAGTCTAGGGCGGACTTTATTCCATGAGGTACACACGGGATCAAATGGAATCTTGACAATCTGCCAAAGAGGTGTTTAGCTGGCAAAGTGGCTAGTTTTGACGTCTATTTTGACGGGAGAGGTGACCTTTGTCTCTTTAGATCAATATCCTCCCGGCAAAATTTCCATCTATATATATCTATATATATAAAAATCAATGTTTGTATGTCCGGTATACAAATTCGCAGTAGTTCACTAATTCAAACCAAAATTTCCATACATAGGTAAAAAAATACGGGGAAGACGATAGGCTATTTAAAAAAATATATAAATCAATTATTAAAACTATA